CTCAAACCCACAAGGTAGGAATTTTACAAGTCTGCAAAACCAAAACCCCTTAAAATGGTAAATTAATTTATATAACGCCACTCGTGGGTGAATAAAAACCTAATGGTTTTATTACGGATAGGCTTGGGACCTAATAAGGCCAGATAATCATGACTAAATTGTTTCAGTGATGGAGCAAAAGTAAGCATATCTACATTTAGACCCAATTTAATATTTAAGGTGAAGAGCTTTCTTTCATACAAATTTTTTATTAGATATTCTTATTTAGCAATTTAAAGTGTTTTCTAAATTGTAATTCTGCTTATATAATTGAAAACGTGATGCCTATGGCAATGCAATTTAAAGGGGGGGGGGGAAGTACCATCTATTGCAGTTTCATTTTCCAAAGACCAATTAAAAGCTTATTCTATGAGAATTAATTCCATTGACATGAAACATAATGAACATCAACATCACAACATTTTTAATAAACATGACACAAAAGCTTTACCTAGAACTCAAGTCTTCTAGCCGCCTACTATTAATTGGAATTATGCTATGTTTCATGTCAAATGGAGATCTCCCATTTTTATGGTCAACATGAGAAAAAATGATTGATTAGCTTTGGGCAAACCAAAATGATAGTATGGCTCTAATGTTTTGGTTCATATTAAAGAAAGCATATAAATGATCTATCTACCATATCTTCTCCTCTATTTCCTCAAATTACACATGATTTGCAAATAAAATTAGCATCAATTTGAGAATGTACTGCATTAATATCCAATCTCCATGCCATTCCTGTACCTCTTCGTTAAAGAAGCCAAACACTTTACAGCATGTGATTAAATACTATTCCATTGACATCTCATTTGGGTTAGGGATGTATGTTATTAAGTAAAGATTTTAGTAACTCAGTCTGTCCTTCCAGTTTGGATAAAGATACTTTGCTACCTAAAACAAAGAACAAACTAGTGATCCCTGCCTGCAAAGTTCTCCCTTTGGCATGAAAACTGGCTGGTGACTATGAGCTGGTCACTCTTAGCCCAACACACCTCACAAATGTATTGTTGTGGAGAAAATAGGAAAAGGAAGGAATATTATATATGTTTACCACCTTGTTTACTTATAAAATGATACAGGCAGGATAAAATTTTTAAAGATTTCAAAATTGGTTTCAGGTTTTTTTAACAAAAAATACTGAGGCAATAGATGGGGAAAGTCATAATTGAATAACTTTCTGGGATTAAGAGGTAAAGGATGAAGAAGCAAGTTTCTAACATATAGTTGTTTGAACTGTTTTAATTATTTCATTTTGCATTGCTAAGGATTTTGTATGAAACAGACTTAAACTGAAATAGAAGACAAAGAGTTTACAGTAGTAGTCTTCCAAAAAACAATTTATCTGTATGAAACTCTTGCAAAAGAACACTATAAAAGCACTAAACACCCAGTAAATTATAATAAGTAAATGTTTCTAAAATGCAGTGCTTTGTTAGCATATACTGTATGCTTGAAAGAAATAATGTTTTTTTTTAATAAAGGGACTGCAGTATAAACTTCATACTCTCAGTGGGCTGTGGAAAAGGTTGATGCCTTTTTATATGGGCATCCAATTTCAGAGAGTTAAACCTTTTCAGTAAAATATTGCTTCATATGAGACAACAATACCAACGTCTGCAGGGTCCTCCGAGAAAGCTGAAATTCAAGATAAGCCAAGGGTTTTGCAATTTGAATCACTGGTAGCAGCAAACCACATTTTAAACAAAGCTTGAATTCAGAGTTTAAACAAGTGAGCCACAAGCAATAAATTAGGCAAAAGAAGAGATATAATCCTTCAGGAATTCATGATGTACCCCAGACTTGCTATGCTTTTAAGAAGGCAGAGGGTTATCGAAAGAAAAGCTGTTTATGTCCTCTACAGTGTTTTGAAGAAAATCCTACACAACTTTAGCAAGACATTTCCAAGGAGATAATATAGATTACTAAACGAGGTGGTACAGCAGCCATGCACTTAAAATTCCCATGAGAGTGTCTTTGCACAGGTCAGTCTCACACCCACCAGAAGGAAAACCCATAATGTTAGTCTTTAGTTTTCTTTGATCCCTGTTTGCAACCCACTCCAATTCAAAGTATAATTGACAGAGTGGCAGCAGGAGAGAAAAGTTCTCAGCATCAAAATGCAAAGCCGTGGCTTTTCAGATCTGCCTGACAAAAATGTAGTAGTTACAACAGAATTCAACTAGCATTATTCAGCAAAGACTGTTTTTATGTTAGGGCTTTAACACAAATAGGACATGAATTGATTTTTTAAAAAGGAGCAAACCTTAGTTAAATATTGTATCCTGGTTCAGTTATCTTGTATCATAACTTGTAATAAGACTTCCGTAATAACTTTACCCATCCCCAAAAGTTGCACAATGGTGTTAGTCTTTAACATTCTCATTTACAGATGGAGGAATCAGCCCAGGGAGCATCTTACCCAGGGCCACCCAGTAAGACCAGGACTGAGCTGGGATATGAAATGTGATTTCTAAGATCCAAGCCTAATAAACTATCCACTGGACCACACTGGTTTCAGATCCAGATGCAAGATGAGTCATGACCCTGAAAATAAGCTGTAGATTTTTGCCATAGCCAGGATAAATGAACCATTCACATTTTCTGCAAATAATAAAATAGGCTTCACTTTTTTATTCAGCATGCCAAGTTCAATCCTGCCCCTCTTCAAGGCTCCTGTTTTTTAAGAAAAGGGGTATATGGTAACAAGCACCAATGTTACTGCTTCCAAACCAATTTCTATAAGGTTTGTTCTTCTACACCCTTCTGAGTAGATTTAAGTCATACTTTTATGTCAAACATGCAGATAGATAAAGAAAATGTTGTCACCCTATTGTTATTGTTATCGAGCCCCTTTTTGAGGGAGATGGGGCAGTTAAAAAGTGTAAGTAAGTAAGTAATAAGTAAGTAAGTAAGTAAGTAAGTAAGTAAGTAAGTAAATGTCTCATAGTTTTGACTAAGAACCATCACTGCCCTTTGTAAGAGACAGGACCATTATTTAAGAGTTACCTCAGCCTTGTGCATATTAAAATATAAAGCAGACATTTCCTTAGAACTTTATTGCTGTAACTTCTATAGCTTATTATTTGCAAAATGGAAAAATACATTGATCATAATTTAGCAGTTACTCTGAAGATTCCATTTTGAAATTTATGTCATGACGTTGCCTTCCAAAATCCTGATGTACAGAGTGATTTTGTTCCCCCGAGATTTCTTGGAAATGCTTTTACAAAAAAGGAAAAGAACTCTATTTCAACCAGAATCCCAGGATAGTAATCTTAGTGTTTCACTAGGCTGCAAAAAGTTCAGTCAAGATTTCAGCCCAAAGACTTCATTTATTATGTACTTTACCGATATAGTGAAATCTCTTTATATAGAGCACCTTATTGCATTTGTACTATAAAGAAGTCTTTTTTTCTGATATAATGGCAGTTACTGCCATTTTGTATTTCTTGTTTGCTTCTTTCATGAAAGGGATAATAAGACCCAAAACATATAATGATGCTTCATCTAATGGAACAATTTAGTAAATAAAAATGTAACATCAAAAATTTAAATTAGAAATTTGTAGAAAATAGCATGAAGATTCTGACCTCTCCCATGAAAAATATTGCAAAAATATCTGAAGATCATGTATTTGTAAATACCCATTTTAATTACTAATACAGCAATGAAGCTCTAACACTACTTTTTGTCTTAATCTTAAAGAATTATCTTAAATAGCCATTTATTTAAGCAAATAGATCTTGGAAGCTTAAAATAGCTTTAATGACTGCTTAAATTTATAAAATTTATAAATCAAACATTAAAAATGCATGAAAGCTGGCTAAATGACGTTGAGCCAGTCATTCTATCAGTCCAACCCACCTAACGGGGCTGTTTTGGTGGGAAATATGGGAGGAGGAAGTATCAGAGTTATTTATAAAAATAATAAAGGCAGGATAAAAGTATCTAAAAGAAAAAATGTGAATGAAAATAAAAGATATTAATCTCATATCTTGAATCCACCAATATGCTAATTAACTGAAGATATAGATTAGTGTCTTGAAAAAAACTGTGCCACAGAAAAAGCAAAAGAATGCTTATTCTTTTCTTCTCTGGAATGAATAGTGAGAGGTAATTAAATTTCAAAAGAAGGGGAAAACAATTAATTCTGAAGTGTTAAAAGTAAAATCACACCAGAAAATAATAGTACAATTTCACATACTACTACCTAAGTGGAAATTAAAATATTAATTTAAATTAGGTAAAGGATCCTAATGTGTGCTAGTTGTTTCTGGCTCTATGGATGGTGCTCATCTCTGTTTCTAAGCCAAAGAGCCAGCACTGTTCGAAAATGTCTCTGTGATCATGTGGCTGGCATGACTAAACGCCAAAGGCGCACGGAGCGCTGTTACCTTCCCACCAAAATGGTCTCTATTTTCCTACTTGCATTTTTTATGTGCTTTCGAACTGCTAGGTTGACAGAAGCTAGGACAAGTAACTCTCCTTGAGAATGTTTATGTGATAGTAGACACTATATACCATTCTGGTAGCCCATGTGGGATTTTTATAGGAATAACCAGCAGAAAAATCATAATTAAAAATAATTTAGATTAATATATGCAATCAAACATTTGAGATCTAAGAAGACTCAAAACTAAAGAAACACAACTTTAGTAAGTACAGCTTTGGTAGATGCAAAATTTGATCAAATGTCTGAAGCAGTAAAAGTCATTTTAAGAATTAAAAATTTAAGGCATAAGATAACTGATTTTAGGCAGAGTATTAGGATGTAATTTTTTTATGTGGAAAAGTTTATATATGTATTATTTTTATAATATCATTTTGGTGAATAAAAAAAGAATAAATAAGGTTTTATTCCTCACTTGTAACACTCACAATAAAAATGAAGTATTTATGTACATACCAAGATTTTTGTATTATAAATTTATCCCTTGTATATGTTTTAAAAAGCTTACTTTTCTTTTGAAGAAGTGTGGGCTTCTTGTAGTGTCACCTTTGGTTTAGTATTTCCATCTTTTGAAATCCGTTGTCTTCTTTTTCTACTTGGAACTATATCAGTAATATCCAGACTACCAAGTAATGAATCTTCACTGGATTTGACTGTCAGAACAGAAAAGATAACATAATAAGACAGGGAATTAAATTATCAATTCTGGGAATATTATGAGGAAGCTGCTTATCTGTGGTAGTCTGAATGGTAATTAGAGTAGAAATAATTCAAGACAATTATTTTTAGGCAATATGAATAGCAAATGTTACAATTGTTGATGCCTTAATAAATGCACATTTATATCTCTGGGCAAAATTTAGGCCATATTCCTCTGCTCCTCTTAAATTTGCTTCTGCTCACCATGTAAAGTTTGCTCTTTCTCCACTTTACAGAATAATACCAAATGCAGTCTAAACTGACTATGCAACCAATCCTCAAACCATATTAATATAAATAGATAAATAAATATTAAACTTATATGTAATCCAACTTCCAACTCTGGGCAACTCACAATAATCAAGTAAAGGAAATTACAGGAAAATCAGGAAAAGGTAAAAGATGACAAATGCCACAGTATAGATGGAATGGAGTAAGGGGTCCCTCTTTTTGTTGTCACAGGTCTTCACTGGAGTTCTAAACAACAGCAGAATGAGGATCATCCAGATTCAGGGGAAACTTATTCCAGAGGGCATGTGCTTCTAGAGAGAAGGTGCACTTCCAGAATCCTGATAAATAACATTGTTTATTCCAAGAAACCCAAGGCATGCTGACCCTGCAAGACTGAAGGGGAAATACTATACAAGACAGGTAGTCCCTCAAGTAATCAGGTCCTATGCCACAAAGGACTTTATAGGTAACAACCAGTAGTGGGTTCCTACCGGTTCAGACCGGTTTGGCTGAACTGGTAGTGTTTTGGCGGCCTGGGTCACTGCAACCGGCAGCGACCCAGGCCTGCCATGCCCCCAAACAGGTTCTTTGGGCAGCGCCATAGATGACACCATCTTGGTTATTGCTTCTGTGCAAAGCAATTTTCACTGCACTACGCATGCATGCAAAGCGCACATCAAGTGCATGCGGCATGGTCATGAGCGAACCCGCAGTAGTGACTGCCGGAACCCACCCCTGGTAACAACCATCCCCTTGAATTAGACTCAGAAGGAACCTGGCAATTGGTACTCCTTGCAAAGCAAAGGTATTACATGGGCATTCTGAAACACCCACATCGCTGCTCATACCGCTTCATTCTGGATCGGATGAAACTTCTGTATAGTTTTCTAGGGCAGCCCTATGTAGAGTGTGTTGCAGTGAAATGCGCATTAATCTAGTTCCATACTACTGCCAAGAATAAACTTTCATTTTATTAATGTAGAGTTCTAAACTTTAAAAAATGTTTACATTCTCTCTAGCGGTAGCTCTACCATTTTTTTTAACATCTTCAAACCTTTTATTTTCTTAAAAATATTCCCAAATATCCAAGTGAAGATTAAAGTTTGCAAAAGAAAAAAGATGGGAAATTCATTTTCCAGATTCCCCTTTTCTGATTTGCAAGGAACCAGCTTGATGGCATACAACCTCATTTTTATGTTTCCCAAGATGCAAATGTTAGAGAAAATAAACATTTTTCTCCATTTATTAATTGATCCCCAGGATTTAGGTTAATAGATAGAACACACATTAATTCAAGCTTTTAAACAGAGGATAATTCCATTACTAGAATAAGTATACTGGTCTCAATAGTCTCATTCCTTGACAAATAAAAGATATTAGTGATAATAGTTTCACTTATTAAATTTAAGTTCTCACAGATGCTGTTTGATTTTTCTCCATAAAGAAATGTTTTTTTAGTCATATCAAGAGTTAAAATTTTAGTTCATATGTAATATAAGTACTATAAAATATATATACAAATTGTATCCATACACATTTTAAAAAGATATACTTTGCACAATATAACCTCAGATTAACAATAATGACAAATCCTTGCTGTAATAATTTAAAGCAAATTTGTTTCCTGATGCATTCTATTCTGCTATATTAAAATGCACAGAGGGGAACCCTTGTGCGATACCATTCGAGGAGGCCATACAAAATATTTAGTTCAGGCATCCTCAAAGGATAATAAAGAATAATCAAATATCTGCTTTTGCTTAGAGCATTACAAACATTCAATTGATTGTATAGAACATGTAAATGTTATATTTCTTTCAGTTTGGTGTAGTGGTTAAGGCATCAGGATAGAAACCAGGAGATGGTCTGACCTTAAGCAAAGAGCCAACTGGGTGCCTTTGGTCCATTCACTCTGTTGAGAAAATTGTAGGGACTTATCCAATCAGTTGCCAAGAGTCAAAATAGACTTGAAGCCCCCTCTCCCACAAATACATTTGTTTCAAGTGTGGCAGTGACCCAAAGAGTCTATTCTCTTTTGCACTAAGGATGAGATTCCATAATTCAAACTCTTCTTTTTCGTTTCATGGGCAAGCAGGCATGAGCATGTCATGATTATATGGGAAGAAAAGAAGCAATTAATGTTTTGTCATAGTTGTTGTTTCGGACAATGAGGAAGTTGGGGAGGAACATGGGCCAGTCCTGGAGTCTGGGGAAGGCTCTGATGAGGGCTCTGTGTCAGAGGCAGAGAGGGGGCCAGAGCCATATAGCAGTTATCAGCTGCCTTCAGAGTCACACATCAGTGAGGCAGATGAACAGCTGGAGCCTGTTTCCAGTGTGCGCATGCACAGAGTTGCCAGATGAAGGGAACAACTAAAGAACAGGGAGTAAGGCTACAGGTGGACGATGAATGGCCCCTCCCAGAAGAAATAAAAGAGGAGCGAAAGGGGAGTGGAGTTTGCAGAAGACAATTAGTTAGCTTAATTGATTTGTGACTCTCCAAGACTGCTTGTCAAGCTTTGCAGCTATCAGCTTGGCAGTTCTCCAAGCCAGATAAGGTCTGTGACTATAAATCCTCCGTTGAAAGACTTTACAGGGTGTGAGTGAATATAATTAAATAAATAAATTAATAAATTAGTAAATTAAGTAAATTAATAAAAGTTTTTTTTTGTCAGGATAAGGAGTGTATTTCATACTCTGGTGGAGAATACTGCCTTTAATTCTTTGGATCAGAGTCTACTGATCCTTTAAAAATGAAAAGTTTGAAAATCCTTTTCTTTGCTTACATAATGTTCATAGAACTATAAAGTTCCATATAATTTGTCAAAGAGACAAACTATATTTGTCTAACTGTACGTGCACTCTTTAAGATTTTCAGGAAAACTGTTATTAATTTGCCACTTGAAAAATGCATTACATGTTATGTAGTATCTCTTGAAATGAACAACACAATGTCAAGCAACTAAATGAAATTAAGATTACAGTTTTTTGTTAAAACTAGCACAAATATTTGAGGTACTAAAATACATTCCTTTCAAACTAAAGATATATTTGTTCTAAATATGCCATTGTAAGCCAAAAATGTTTTAAATTGTATACAAATTGTTCTATTTATTTGCATTAGACCCAAATTGAAAAAAAGAGAAAACAGATGAATTATAGCAATACATCCTAGCTCTGTGCTTGAGGCATTTATCACAATAGCACTTATATTGCTTCATAGTGCTTAACAGCCCTCTGTAAGCAATTTAAAAATTCAGCATACTGCCCCCAACAATCTAGGTCCTCATTTTACTGAACTCAGAAGGATGGAAGGCTGAGTCAACCTTGAGCTGGTGAGAATTGAACTGCTGGCTGTTGACGTAATTAGCCTGCAGTACTCTTTCCCACCTTTAGGAGATATATCAATCAAACAGGGTTTAAGTAAAATGAACATTTAGCTCAAAATGAAAAAGATAAAATTCTAAGCTGTTTCCTGGGAAATTTTCAGTGGTGGAAGAGACAAAAATATAGAGTTTTTTATAATAACAGGGAGCATCCAAAGAAACACCCGGCCCCATGTATGTATATTATGTATGTCTGTGTGTCTATATACTGTATATTTCAGGAAAATATAAAGTTCTAACCAACCATAAGATGATGCTGGTCCCTTACTAATTTAGAAGCAATTCTAGTGGAAAATTGTTCTTTGCACAAAAAACACAAAATGGCTGAATCTGAGATAAAGAAGCATAAACTAACATACTCAGAAATTTATTCATTTGTTCATTTTATTTATCAAATGTATATGGCCATCCATCTCACAAGAAAAGATTCTGAGAAATATATACTACTTCAAAAAAAGTATAAAAACAATAAATGTCAAACAGTGATACTTTTTTTGAAAAGCACACCACACAAGAGAGTTGATTAGCCATGAAAGTCATTTTAAGATCTCACTGATTCCCTGAGACACACACCCCCTTCCAGGACTGACGACTTTAGGAAAATAATGGATGGAGCTGATCTCGTTTCAGGGAATAATGTTAATTAAATATATATTTAATGGTAATTAAACCTGATAGTTGTTAGCTAACTTTATTTCTTTCTACACAACAGATTAATATCGAATAAAATTCGCTCTCAGATACAACTGCTACTTATAAATTTAAGGAAAGTAGGAAATAGTTGTGGCTAGGATGACTTTCGCTGAATTTGATTTAGTGCAGTTGCAACTATTCTTGGATGAGGGCATTCCTATCATAGTACCTTATGCTCTCCTCATCTCTTGGTTACTAATGCAATGTTGAGCTGCTCTTGAAGAGTGCCCAAAAGCTACAGCTAAATATAGCAGCTTCTCAGGTTATAGGTGTGCATCATTAAATGCAAGTGACATCACTACTGCAAGAACTATGTCTGTGTCAATCCTTCAATATAGACCATGCCAGGAAACAGAAAGCATAAGAAATATTGCAACTCTATTTCATTGCTATGGGATATAATAACAAAAGCTTGAAAGCCTGACAGACCTTCTCTTATACACTAAAGAGGATCAAGGTAAAGCTATCTTCATTACCCTCTTCTGTGTAATTAGGCTAAATTGATGTTCACAAAGTGTTTGTTGAATTTCTTTTCTTTTTCAAAGCCATCATCCCACTTCCCTACAAGCTGCATTATTGATTGAATTCTGGGTACTATTTAAGGTGCTGGTTGTTCCCTTTGAAGCCTTGCATGATTTAGGACTTTA